TGAAATAGTTAGTTTTTAGGTGTCAACTTGCCTAGGTTTAGTGATATTCAGATAGCTAGGAGAACATTATTTCTGGGTGTGCCTGTGAAGATGCTTTTAAGAGACGGGTGCTTGAGTCAGTGTATGAGTAGAACAGATTCATCCTTCCCCAATGTGGATGGCACCATTCAATAAGTGGAGGACCTACAGAGAAGAAAAAGGCAAGAAAAGGGTGTGCATGTGTGTGTGTGTGTGTCTATCTGTCTGTCTGTCTGTCTTTGTCAATTCTTACAACCATCTTCTTCTGTCCTTGGACATCAGAACTCTGGATTCTATGGCCTTGGCTCCAGTAGCCCTCCAGGTTTTAGGAGTTTGGACATGGACTGAGCCAAGTCACTGACTTCTCTGGTTCTCCAGCTTGTAGACAGCCATCACGAGATTTCTCAGCTTCTGTATATATCTAGATGTTCCCTCAAAGCCTCCTGTGATCATAGGTGAGACTTTTCAGAGGTGGCTGGAGGTAGGGTGCAGTGTTGGGATTCAGTGTGTGATGCTGGGATAAGGATGTGTGATGACTAAGTTAGTCTTCTGATTGGTCTGGCATAGTTCTGGGGTGGCTAAAGGGAAGGCCTGCCCTGGTGTGGGTGGCACCACCCAAAGGGCAGGCAGTCTAGAAGGGATAGAGGTGGTCAGGTGGCTGCTGCTTCATTACTTGCTGTCTTGCTGCTGTTTGATTGCCATGGACTGTTTCTCCTCTGCAATAACCCTCTGCCACACTGCCTTGGGGGGCCAGCCAGCTATGAATTGAAGCCTCTATAAACCGTGAGCTACAATAAACCTTTCCTCCCTTAACTTTAGGTATCAGGTATTTTGTATCAGTAATGGGAAAAGTAACTAAGACAATGAACGAATTCTCCTAATAATTCTGTTCTGTATAAGTATCTCTGTATCTACCTAGTACTTTATTGATTCTGCCCCTCTGAAGAACTTCAGTTAATGTAAAGGACAATGGAAGAGTCTTTCCCTCTTGCTCACTCATCCATTCCCCTTTTCTCAGGGGAGTCTTGGGGTCATGTCTCATGAGCCAATGGCTGCACTCTAGGGTCAGACACACTTTTTGAAATTTTCTTGTTTTCTTTCTTTGTAACTGAGCATTTTTATTGAGACAGAACAATGTACCACAAAATTCAGTATTTCAAATTGTACAGTTCAATGAATTTAATATAATCACATAATACAATAGTTGTCTGACTATCACTACTGATTCCAGAACATTTTCACTTCTTGAGAGAAACCTCGGTAGCAGTCAACCCCCATACCCTGCCCCACTCACCCCCGCACCACTTGGCCCCTGGCAACCACTGGTCTGCTTTCTGCCTCTGTGGATTGCTCATTTAGATTTCATAAAAATGGACTCTATAGGATGTGGCCTTTTGTGTCTGATTTCTTTTAGCACCAGGTCTTCAAAGGTCATCCATATGATCACATGTATTGCTACAATATTCTTTTTATGTCTGGATGATGTTCCATGGTATGGATATATTATATTTAGTCTATCCACTCATCGCTCTATGAATATTTGAGTTGCTTCTGCTTTTTGACTATTGTGAATAACCCTAACCTGGACATTTGTGCACAAGCTGTTGCATGGATACATATTTCCAGTTCTCTTGGGTGTGTCTGCAGGGGCACAATTTCTGTTTGACTTACTGAATAATGACCAAACTTTTCCAAAGGGAAACACCATTTTATATTTTTACCAGCAGTGTACCAGGGTTCGAACGACTCCAAATCCTCTCTGTATTTGTCCATCTTTTTCATTATATTCATTCTAGAAGATGCAAAGTAGCATCTTTCTGTTGTTTTGGTTTGCATTTTCCTATCACAAATGATTGAATTACTTTTTTATTGCATATTGACCATGCATATATATTCTTTGATATATATTTGCATATCATTTCTGTCTATTCAAATCCTTTGCCCACTTAAAAATTTAATTAGTCTTTTCTTATTAAGTTGTAAGAGTTCTTTCTTTCTTACCTTTCTTTTGTAGGACAGGGTCTCACTAGGTAGCCCAGGCTGGCCTCCAACTTATAGCAATCCTCCTGCCTCAGCTTCCCAAATTCTGGGAAGTTTTTTATTTAGGATGACCATGAAACCCTTTTCTCCCATGAGATATTTTCTCCCATGTTATGGGTTTATCTTCACTTTATTAATATTTCCTTTTGCAACATAAAAATTGAAATTTTGATGAAGTCTGCTTTATCTGTTCTTTCTTCTGTTGCTAATTCTTTTGGTGTTAGATCTAGGAAACCACTGCTGATGCAATCACAAAGTTTATTTTTGTTTTTTTCTAAGAGTTGCATAAGCTTAGCACTTAAGTCTGAGTCTGATTTATTTTGGGCTAAATTTGCATGTGACGTGTGTATAGGTCATTGTTTTACGTGTAGATAATATGTAATTATCCTAAAATAATTTTCTGGGAACTATTCTTTTTCCATTGAATTGTCTTGAAACCTTTGTCAAAAACCAATTAATTACAAATATACATCTTTGTTTCCACATCCTCAATAAATGTTTTTCCTTATGTCAGTCCCCACACTGTCTTAACTAATGCCAGTGTGTCATGTTTTGAAATTGGGAAGTCTCTGTCTTCTAACTTTGTTCTTTTTCAAGGTTGTCTGAGCTGTTCTGTGTCATTTGAAGTGGTCAATGAATTTAAAAGTCAACTTGTCAATTTATGCAAAAAAATGCAGATGGGACCTACAGATTGCATTGTTTCCATAGATAAGTTAGGGAGTATTGCTATTATTGCAGTTATTTTTCTCATTGCTGAGTTGAGAGGATCAGGACAAAGGTGAAACACAGCACAGCTGCACCAGAGACACATTGGCTGAAAACCAGGACTCAAGATAAAGACAAGACAACCAGACCTGCATACTTCCTCAAAGAACAAACACTGGGCCTGATGAAGTCTAGATAGACATCAGCCACCCAGTGGGTGACCAGAGACCTCTGGACCCACCATTTCCTAGGAGAATCCTTGCTCTTTCCATCCACACTTGGTATGTGAGTTCTTTCCTAAGTGCACCACCATTACATAAGTGACTGTACTTGTAACCTTATTGGGTGTTCATGGCTGTGGCCCACATTGTACCCTCGTGGGTTCCACCCTATAGAACTCTTCTAAATCAGGGCCCCAGGCTCCCCACTTGGGACCCCTTCTGCCCCTCAGGAGCTTTCCTGTTAATAAATATCTTCCTACCCTTAACATCCATTGTTCCTAGGACTCATCCTTTGATTTCTAAAGAACAAGAACTTGGTATACCATACAGTTAACAGGTTGGGAAATGTCATAAAATTTTCATATTTCATCCTCATATTTCCTGTGATGACCTCCAGGAGTGGACAGCAGGCCACTGCTCTGCTGGGGCATGCAGCTTCTGGTCATCCTATACCCATCAGAAAAATAACTAGAGAAGCGATTTAAAATAAAAGAAGACTGTTTATTTAAAAGTGGGGAAAGAAGGAAAAGGGTGAGGGAGCAGATATGGCAGACAGAACTCTGGATGAGTAGGACGACTCCAAAAGTGAACGGATCCAGGATTTCTTGGCTACAGCTCCCTTTACTGAGATCTTTGTCTCGCCAAGGCTCTTGGAATCTCCCTGTCTTGTCTTTCATCCTAACCTTGGATTTTTCCCACCCATAAAACCTTTTCTGGTCCTCTGGTGGAGCCTAAAATTATGGATGTAGTTCTTTGGGACAGATGTTTTAGTCTAAAGGATTAAGTGAAGCTCATCTTGACAATTTTTTGTTAATCTCACCACCTAGGAACTCCTGGGGCTTTAGTTCATTGTCTTTTTCTTTCTGATAGTCTAGCTATCTTTGCCTTTCTAATCCCTAGTTTTGCTGCCTTTGCCCTTTTAATCGTGGGAGTCTGGCTGCGGGGGTCGGAGCTGTCTACAGTAGAGCTCCATGAGGCCTTCCTCCTAACTTTCCCTACCTCCTGTGCCCCAGTGCCTACCGAAGGGGCCTTGGTCTCCACAGCCCAATCTCCAGCACCTTGAGAGCCACCCTGCATAAGCATTCTAAGTACAGATGACTCCCAGGCCTTGGGTTTGATGCTTTCAATCAGGCCTGTGCGGGCTCCCTGTTAATTTGCGTGGCCACTGAGGGTGTGGGCTGGGGATCTGGGGACAAAGGATCGGTGCATAGTTCCAGGAGACTGCGACCAAAACCAGAGCAGACAAGACCATAAAGGGGTTTGGTTGCCATGCTAAAGGTTTAGGTTTTATCCTGTAGTCCTGAGTTCGCAAACTGCTGACCAAGAGGTGTTTTTTGTTTTGTTTTGCTTTTCATCCTAGGGATTTGTTTTGCTAGAGTTTTTATAAAGTCTTAAAAGCCAGAGCCTTCTAGCATCTGTGGAAAAGTCAGAAGATGTGACATCACTGGATTCCTGCTCCTGCCTGAATTGGCCGGGGTACAGCTGGCTCTGGGACTCTAGGCTGCAGCGTTGGCCTGGTTCCTGCCCTTGGCTTCAGGGAGCCTGCCCCTGTCAGCACGACCCCTGGAGGCCGCCCGAGTAACTGCGTCCCAGTAGCAGGGTCCACGGGTGACAATGGCGAGAAAGGACAGATTGAAACGAAGTCAGAAATGCACCTGTGCTCTGGCATACACTTCTCCTTCTTTCTTTCTTTCCTTTCCTTTCTTTTTTGTTTTTTGAGACAGGGTCTCACTATGTAGTTGAGACTGACCTGGAACTCACTATGTAGCCTAGGCTGGTTTTGAACTCACAGCAATCCTCCTGCCTCAGCCTCCCGAGTGCTGGGATTACAGGCATGTGCCACCACGCCCAGCTTCTGGCACACACTTTAAACGTGTCCAAACTACTTTCTCCTCTTCTATATTGGAGGTTTTATGCTTCTTAAAAGATTTTCTCCCTTCTAGAATTATTCATGCTCAATTTCAGAGTGTTTTCTTTGAGAAGGAGAGTGAGTGAGGTCCACGTAGCATTTTTTTCTGGGCTCCCTGGGTCCCCTTTCCCTCTGCTGTTGGAGGTGGACTTGGGTGGGGGCCCGAGGAGATCTGGGAACACCGATTTTCTGAGCTCATAGAGCCCCTGGCAAGCTCAATCTGCATCCTTTTCTGGCTTTTCCCTTGTTCCTCCCCTGCAGAGGCCTGAACAATGCTCTTCCTGAGCCCAACAAATACTTATTGATGAGCTGGAGTGGAGGGAAAAAGAGATTTATGGGGGAAGAGTGGCAGCAAATAAAAAGAGAGGTTCCCCCACGGACCCCAGGGTCGTGCATAATCAACGCAACCCCTTTCCAGATTATAAAGTCAGTTTGCAGAGGAGAGAAGGGACAGCGATGCTGAATTTTATTCCTACCTCCGGCACTCGCGTCCAGCCCCTGGGGTGACCATCGGAGCCGCCCTTGATCGCCATCTCTGCGGCAGACTGGAAGGACTGCGCACGGCCAAGCAGGTGAAAAGGAAGTGGTGTTATCTGGCCGGCAATGAATCTCGCCAGTCTTTGTCTACTGCTAGAACGAATTCATCCGCAGGTGCCGTGTTATTTACTGATTTAATCATCCCATTCGGTGCCACTTCACAACCGCGCACTTTTAAGTAAAATAATGTTCGACTGCACGTATCTCGATTACACGTGTCAGCAGAGAGAGGAAGGGAGGCATTCGGCTTCCTGCTGTGTGCTTGCTCTTGCTGGCTCCGAACACCTCTGGCTGGGAGCAGTCAGGTTTCCCGCACCAGCTGTGGTGGCGGAAGTGGGTTGCAGGGAGGAGGACAGAGGCCCACTCATCCGTTCAGCATACGGCTGTCCTGGTGCTGGCTCTCAGGGAAGCAGAGCCAGGCGAGTCAGGGATCCCAGAGCAAGGAGCGAGACAGAGACGAGGAGGCAGCCAACCAGGGGCTCATTGTTGAGTCAGCTCCATCGTGGGCGCTGAGCTCGCCCTGGGCACATGCTTGACTCCGCCTACCTGAGGGGGCAGGGGACCTGGGATATCGAACCCCAGTTCCCACCTATCACTGGTTGCCAATCACTTCTAGGGTGGTGAAATAAGCCTTGATGGCCAGAGAAAGTCCTCAAGCAGATGCTCTCAGTTCGGAGTGCGAGGCTGCACCAAAGTGATAAGGGTAAGGGGCAGAGCCCTGACTCAGGGGTAGAGTTGGCTACATATTCTTTGAGGGCTTCCTGTGTGCTGGGCAGTGTCGCGAGCCGCAACGTCAGAATCCTGCCAGCAGGTCCCAAACCCGAGGGAAGGACAACAGGAGAGAAAACAGTCTCACCGACTTGGTTCCAGGCTCATGCTCTCTTCGTAGCAAGGCCCCGTTTATTTTTCAGGGTGAAGTATATATAGGCTAAAACCGAAACCAAAAGTGTGAATAGGGCGTAGCTGACTGCAAAGGTCACAATGCTCTACAAAACAAGTATTATGGGTTACATTTGCTAGGCAACAGGTCCGACCACCAGTTGAACTAGCCCGTTGTTATGGGCGACGGCACGTCCACACTGCTCGGGTGAATCACAGGTCAGTATGGCTGTGCTCATGTCAAGGCTCACCATAGGGCAGTGCCATACAACCATTGTAGAGATGGAGTTTTGTCTCTGGCTTTGCAGACCTTATAATCCAGTGGAGGAAGCAAGCAAGTAATCAAGCAGAGTGCCTTAATACAGGATATTTTGTGATGGTAAGAAAGAGAATTATGTCAAGGAAAGCCTCTCAGAGAAAATGCCACCTGAGCTAGATCAGAATGCATACTGTATTTGTAGGTGGGGCAGCAACATGGGCAGAGGTCCTGAAGAGAGTGTTTGTAGCAAATTTGAGAAACTACACAGAATGGAATGTACCTGGAAATAGAGTGCAAAAGACTAGGAGAATAAGGATCTGAAGGGGGAGCTAGGTATTGGGGATGTTGGAAAACTGCTTGCATAGTTCCTAGAGGCCATTACTCCCCAAGAGAAAATACTTCCACTTATGATTTCAAGCACTTAAGTATTCATCTCTGGCATTTCCATACCTATTTTGACCTTGCACAGGAACATTTCTCTTACACAGATTCACTCAGAACTTTGGAAACATTTTAAATAGAAAACAAAATTATACCTGATTTTGCAACAGATTAAATTAACACACGATGGGTAAATTATTACTGTTCTTGAATTTAGTGGTCATTATTATTCTTGAAGAAACCCCTTCCCTTAAGATACCTGAAATAAGCCAGGTGTGGTGGCAAATGTCTATAATCACATCACTCCGGGAGGCTGAGGCAGGAAAATCACAAGTTCCACCCTGGGCTATTTAACAACTTTAGTGCCTTAGTGAGAGTTGATTTTAAAAAGAGGGGGAGGGGCCTGGGAATGTAGCTCAGTGCAAAGACTCTGGGTTCACCCATTGCTACGGCAAAACAAAGCAAAACAACAACAACAAAGAACAAATAACAAACGAAGGAATAGAAGCAAAACAAAACATCCACAATACATAGGTGTGGCATGTTCTATTTTCCGGAGATGGTTACAATGATACCTCCTAGCTTACTGTCTTAGACAAAACACCTGGCACCCAAAGATAAGGAGAAAGGTTTGTTTGGCTTACAGTTCATAGAGGTTTCAGTCCATCATCGGCTGGCTCCGAGGCAGGGAGGAAGAGGAGCATCACAGAGTAGAAACAGTTCATGGCACCTACAGGATAGCAAAAGCAACAAGGGGCCTTAACAGTGTCTTTCCACCACTTTTCTATTATCCAGACTACTTAGGGCACGTAGCACTCGCACCCTTAATCCTAGTGCCCTTGGGCCTGGCCCCACCATGAATCACACACTCTAGATTCAGCTACCTCCAAAATAGCCTATGACAACACGAAGCTCAGGGGGACATTTAGACATAAGCCATAACACCTACTCTTTTCACAGCATCACTTCAACACTCCTTCCAAGTACAAAGCAAGTGGGCCTCATGCTCCCTCCTCATGAAATTGGATGGGCTGTGAGTGCTATGGTAATGACATTGTGTGACATTTGGGGACAGATCATAAAGGGCACCATGGTTTAGACATGGTTTAGTGTGTCCTCCAAGGATTTGTGTGCTGGAAGCTTGGTCCTCAATGTGATGGTGCTGAGAGTTGGTGGTCACTTAACCACCAAGTGGCAGCTGTGGGAGGTGGGTAGGTCTTTGGGAATGCTGTCCCCAAAAGGGATTAATGCTGGTCTTGTGCAGTGAATTAGTTCTCACAAGAGCAGGTGTTTGCTGTAAATAGAGGTCGCTCTACATCCTGGCCTCTTCTGCTTGTGCACGTTCCCTTTCTCCTTTCTGATCCATACTGTGATGCAGCCAAGGAGCCATTGCCAGAGTCTAAACCGATGAAGCCTCTTGGTCTGGAACTTTCTGCCTCCAAAACTGTGAGTTAAAGAAATGTTTTTAAAATTGTAGACATCCGGATTCAATTATTTTGCTGTAGCAATACAAAATGGAGTAATAGAAAAGGCAAGCCTTCCCTTGGTGTTCTGGGGATACTTGTGTTTGGAGTCCTGAGACCCCATTCAGGACACTGTAGGAAAGGTCGAGCCACATGAAGATCCCAAGGTAAATAGTTTTGGTCAACAGCAACAGAGATTCTACCTGACAGATTGTGTCAGCTGCCAAATATGTGAGAAACACCTCTTCAGCTGATTCCTCCCCCAGCTGTTGAGTCACCCCCAGGCAGTGGATTCATTCCCTTCTTGACTCACTGAACCCATGAGCATAGTAAGTTTTTGTTTTAAACCACTAAGTTTTAGGGTAATTTGTCATGCACAAATAGGTCACTTGTAGATGGGGGGAACAGGCCTTCATAGCTGAGTCATTTAAAATTCAATGGAACACTGAGCCTGAAAAGATTAGCATTTGTGCTACAGATTGTAAGCGTCACTGGAATCCAAAAGGTCGCAGAGAAGGGGCCTCACAGTTTCTTCAATGTTCAGGGAAGTCTGCTTTGAGAAGTCTGGGCATGAGCCATCCTTAAAGTACTGTTGGTCACATTGCTTTCACTTCCTCTTCCAAACAGAACCTACATTTCCTGAAAACAAGCAGCTCCTCTCCAGTTCTCAGCCATTTAGTCTCCTTGAGGCTGATGGCCCAGTCCCAGGGCGAGCCATGACTGGAAACACCGTATGGATCTGCTCCAGGCCAAGGAAAGATTTCATTAGTCAGCAGGAGGCCAGCAGAGGGGTCTGGGTTCAGGCAGAGAACAGCGCAGGAATGCTAGGGGCCTCTAAGGTATAAGGGTGCATTGTGAACCTCAGAGGGCCTGGGGTAGGCAGCTTTCACCAAGCTTGCTGATATGGAGCATTAGTGGATCTAAGGAACACCTTGAAAAAAGTAGGAAAAAAACCCCAGACATGATTTCAGGAATGAACAGAAATGATCCAGGGGCAGAGGGAGCATGGTTCCAACTCAAGTAAAATTTATAAAGTACATGGAGTGGTGGACATAGTAAAGGACATAGAGTGATGACCAATAGGTATGATGGACTGGTTATAGGCAGATAGATGGATAGATAGATAGATATGACAACAGATTTATCTATATAGATATGATATTACAGATACACATGTTTGGTAGATATGATAGATACGAGGGATACGATGCAGGTAACACTGTACAGATAGACAGATACATAGATAAATGAAGCGGGGAGAGGGTGTGTGTGATAGTTAAATTGGATTGTCCACTCGATTGCTTGAGAGCTGCCTAACAGGTTAGCAGAGCACGCTTCTGGGTGTGCCCATGTGGGGCATGACTTTGGGTGCTATATCTGCTCCTTCCTCTCTGGCACTCATTTCAACCCATTCTGCTTCCTGGCTGCCATGAAGTGAGCAGCTTTTCTCCTTTCTGCTGTGCTACCCCTGCCTGAGAGCCGGCCAACCACAGACTGTATCCCCTGAAACCATGGGCCAAAGTAAGCCTCTCTGCCTTCGAGTGGTGGGCGTTACTGTTGTGTCCCAGCAATGCAAAGCTAGCCACTACGGTGTGCCCAGTCATTTTCTGTTGCTGTAACTATATGCCACAGACTGGGTAACTGGAAAATAATTTAGGTTTATTTAGCTCATGGTTCTGGAGGCTGGGAAGACTAAGAATGTGGCCCCAGCATCTGGTAAGGATCTTCTTCCTTCATCATAACATGGTGAAAGACATCTCATGGCAAGACAGCAGAGTGACAGGAAGATCTTGCTTTTATAATAAAAGTACTCCCTCAATTACTCATTAATCCACAATCACCTCCCAAAGCCCTCACCTCCATATACCATTAACATATAGGTTGGAAGATTAAATTTCCAATGCATGAAATTCAGGGGTCCATTCAAAGCACAGTAGAGAGCAATAATGAATGAGGCCCGCAGGGGTCTGGATCCCGACCTCTTTGAATCCTGGGATGAATAACTTGCTCGTGTCTACAGGTAGACCAGTGGCTGAGGTCATCTGGGAAAGGTCTGGGGAAGAAAGGAATTTGTAGTAATCTGAGCATGAAGTGCTGAGATTGTCAGCTGAAGTGTAGATGGCAGGGAGAGAGAGAAAGAAATGAATTTCAGAGATGCAGCAAAGGAGGAGTAGGGACTTATTAATGGGTGGAGAGCGTAGAGTGAAATAAAAGCGGGGAAGAAGAATGATTAGAAATTCTGATTTGAGTGGAAGAGCTCCTCTAGAAAGAAATGGGCAATGCCTTTCTCTCCACTGATTACTAGCTTACTGCACAGTGGCAGAAAAATTCCGGACACCCAATAAAGAATCACCAGTAGCTCTGGCAAACCTGGGAAAGTGGATGAGCAGTCAAAAGCTATGGTAAGTAGAAGAGGTTTCTATCCTCCCATATCGTCCTCTGTGTTCGTGACCTCAGCCCCAGAGAGCTGCCTCTGTGTCTATTCGCAGCTGACCACGGGACTGATGCCATCTACCTGCAACCTGGGTGGCCACATTTCATTAAGAGGAGAGAGTGACAGAAATTTCCAGATGAAAAGGAGAACACATTGAAGAGAAAAACCACTGGGCAGCGCACCACAATCAAGTCCTCTTTCTCACTGTCCCCCTCTGTCATCTCCCCTGATCTAACGCCGAGTCACTGGGATGGGGACACATTAGAGTTCTGTGAAGTGGCTGTGGTTAATACAGCCTTCATGTGCAGCTGATGTTTTTGTTCCTTAACTACCTCTTGTTCCTTTGAGGGAGCAAGAGGCTGCATTCTGTACCAGAGTTGGGCTCTGCTGTGCACATTCCCCGGAGATGTCACCGCAGACAACATAGAAGGATGTTTCAGAAACCCTTGACTCAGAATCCCTTGGCCATTCCCTAGTAATTAAAGGTTGAATTTCACCTCCAACATGGACATTCTGCTTGTTCATCCTTTGTCTTCCTAATAAAAGCCTCCTAATAAAAGGCAACGTGGGTGAATCAGGGTCACTCAGAATCCTGACTCAAAGCTCCTCTGCCTCAACCGCTCTGGAATCACTTGACTTCTGTTGCACCTCCATGTGTCAATCCCTCGTGTGCATGTCTGGGTCCAAACCCCACCTTTGCATTAAGGACAGCACTGCGATTGGTGTAGGGGCCCACTAGATTCCACTCTGACTTCCTCTTAATTCAATACAGATGCAGTGATGCTAGTCCCCAAAAGGTCACATTCTGAGGCAGCAGAGAGTCTAAGCCTATTTTGCTGTAAGTAAATACCAGGCACTGGTTCAATGATAGAGAACAGCGATTTATTCCTTGCACAGTTCTAGGGGGTGGGAAGTCTGGAGCACGGTGCTGTCAGCCAGTTGGGCCTCAATGCTACATCACAGCAAGGCAGAGGGCATCGTCTGGAGAGGTGGTGAAAGCTGACCAGTCCAGGTCTCTCCTTCTCTTCCTATAAAGCAACTGATGCTGGTGTGGGTCCCATCTTCATGATGCCACTTAATCCCAATTACCTCTGAGGGGTCCCACTTCCCAGTGCCATAACTGTGACCTTGGGGATTAACTTTGCAGTGCATGAGCTTTTTAGCGGATACAGGCAAACCATGGCACAGGAGTAAGGGCTTCAACATATACCTTTAGTGGGGACTCAGCTTCAACAAGAAAAGGTCTGAGGGAAAGGTAACACTGCGATGGGCCAGAGTCGACTGAAGTCGAGTTCGCTTTCTGTGTGCACCAGCGACACCTTGTTCCAAGCAGTAAACCCCACTCTGACCAATTTATGCTGGGAAGGAACTCAGGAAAGGGTGCCCGCCAAGTCCAGGGGCCGGCTGATCGCTGGAAGGACGCGTGTCCCATGGAGGTGGCTCATGGCCTCCACACCAGCAATGCCTGCTGCCCAGCAGCACCTTCCTTCACCGAGGCTTGGACTGGTGTGTCTTGTGTGCCCTCGGTGGGGCAATTTGGAAAAACTGCAGTGAAATGGAAAATGCGTGCATCCCTCCACGCAGCAACCCCCACCCTTAAAATGTCTTTGCCTAAGGCAATGACTCAGCAAGGGCATAGAGACATTTACAACCGCGTTTGTTTCTGAGTCATTGCGTCCGTAAGGGGAAGCTCACTGATGTCTGTGGGTGTTAGGTTTGTGAGGCAAACCACAGCGTGAGGGTGCAAGGGACGGGTGCACTAGGTGTGACGAGAGGATGTGCTCTTCTTCCTCTTTATTATCCTCAAGCAAAACCCATAGATAAGATGATCTGTTCGGAATTTCCTTCCTAAAGTTGTTGTGGGTATATGTTTTGACACACGGTAATTGCATTCACCTAGGAAATAGAAGGAAGACATAGGACATCTTCATCATTTTTTCCTCTCCCTTCTCTCTCCTTCATCCCATAGATGCCCTTCTCATCTCCATAAAGTTTATCTCCCTGTTTCCTATCACTTTGCTTTTATTGTGCTCTTAAAAATTATTTATACCTTTTGTTTCTCATATAAGAGGAACCATGCACTATTTGATCTCTGTGTTTGATTTATTCTACTTAGTACTGTGGTCCCAAGACCCGTTCATTTCCCTACAGATGATTCAAATTTAGCCTTCTTTATGGTGGAGTGGTACTCCATGGTGTATATATAGCATTTAAAATTTTTTTGACTGTTATAGACACATAGCCCACTTCCATGATTTAGCTAGTGTGAGTTGTGCTGTTATAAATTTGGGTGTACATATATCAATGTAATATGATGACTTTAATTCTTTCAGGACAGTATTTCAGAAGAGGAATAGCTGAGTCAAATATAATTTCAATTTGTAGTATTTTGAGAAGTCTCCATACTGCTTTCCATAGGGGTTGTTACTTCTGACAGTGTGGAAGGCTTGCTGCCCCCAACCCCAACAACCTTCCCAGAATTTTTTGTTTCTTGAGTTCTTGCTAATAGTCTTTCTTACTGGGGTAAGGTGGTATCCCAGTGTTATTTTGATTTGCATTTTTCTAATGGCCAAAGATTGTTGAATATGTTTTCATGTACTAATTGGCCACTTGTACTTCTTCTCAGAAGTGTCCATTCATCTCAATTGCCCATTCTTTGATTGGGTCATTTACTGGGGGGACAAATTTTTCTGAGTTGTTTATATAATTCAGATGCTACTCCTCTGCATAAGAAGCAGCTAGCGACATTTTTTTCCCATTCTGCAGGCTGTCTCTCCACTCAGTTGGCTGTTTCCTTTGTGGTGCAGAAGCTCTTTAATTTGATATGATCCCATTTGTTGACTCTTGGTGTTATTCATGTGCAGCTGGGGTTCTGTTCAGAAAGCTTTTGCCTATGCCTATGTCTTCAAGCTTTTTATTTATTTTTTTTCCAGCAGACTTGGTGTTTCCACTTATTTATTTATTTATTTGCTTTGTTTTGTTTGTTTCCTTGAGACAGAATCTTGCTATTATTTCAGGGTGGCCTTGAACTCATTATGTAGCCCAGGCTGGCCTCTAACTTGAGCTTCATCCTTCCGAGTGCTGGGTTTACAGACATGTGCCACCATGCCCATCTCTACAATTTTATATCCAAGTTTTTGATCTGTTTTGATTTGATTTTAGCACAGGGTGAGATATACAGATCCAGATTTATTTTCCTGCACATGGATAGCTAGCTTTGCCAGCTTTCCCAGCTCCTTTTGCTAAGAAGCTGTCTTTTCTGCAGCATATGTTTTAGCTCTTTTGTAAAAAATCAGATGACTGAAAGTTCTTGGAATTCTGCTTTCTTGATTCTATTCCATGTCTGCTTTTGTGCCGGTACCGTGCTGTTTTTATTACTGAAGCTTTGAAGTATAACTTGAAGTCTGGGAGTATGATGCCTCTTGCATTGCTCTTGTTGCTCAAGATTACTTTGGCTATTTTGGATCTCATCTGCTTCCATAAATTTTAGGAATGTTTTTTCCAGTTCTGTGAAGAATGATGGTGGTATTTTGGTAGCAACTGCATTAAATTTACATAGCTTTAAAAAATAATATGGCCATTTTGATAAATTATTTTCTGCCTATCCAGGAATAGGAGTTGTCTTTCAATTTTCTAATGTCCTCCTCAATCTCTTTTATCGGAGTATTATAGTTTTCATTATAGAGGTTTTTCACTTCCTTGATTATGTTGCTTTCTAGGTATTTAATTTTTTAAGGATACCATGGATGCCATGGGATGATTTTCCCAATTTCTTTCTTAGTGGGTTCATTGTAGTTACACAGGAACGCTGATTTTTGTGTGCAGATTTTGTATCCTGCCTCTTTGCTGAATTTATTAGTTCTCAGAGACTTCTGGTGGAGTCTTTTTTGTTTGTTTGTTTTTTGGTCTTGTATGTAAAGGTTCATTCCTTTTGTGAATAAGAAGTTTGACTTTTCCTATTTGCATCCCTTTTATTATTTTTTCTTGCCTTATTGCTCTGGCTAAAGTTTCAAGTACACATTGAACAGGAGTGATAAGTGAGAGAAGATGAGTGGTGAGAGTAGATGCTGAGCTCGGTCCCTGAGGGAGTGATCCCACCCCCTACCTGCTGAGCCTGGTGCTCTGTGAGCTCCCTCCCAGTGGCTCCCAGACACTGTTCCATTCCAAGCACAAGGACCTTCCTCCACTGAGTCCTGGGTGCCACTGACTTCATGAGCTGGGTTAGAGACTGAGAAGTTTGGACAGTGACAGAAACCACAGGAGAAGCAGCGGGGCCTGCAGGCATTGCACTGTGTGCTCATCTGGTCCAGCAAAGAAAGAGCAGACATAAGAACTTGCAGGGGTGTTAGACAGAAGTCAAGGAAGCCCCTCCAGAGGTCAGCAGGGGACTGGGAGCTCAACCAACCCCACTGTACCCTCCCCACCCCTTTAAGATTGAAGGTTCAGGGTCACTAGGCAGAAGCAAAAACACTGGCTAGTCACACCCACAGGACCCCAGCTGGGACCTCACAGAGCTCTGCCCATGGGGGCAATGAGAAGCAGGCCTGGTGGTCCACTGGACCCCAGTGCCTTGTCACTCACTGTGAATCACTGGAGGGAAACATTCAGGCAGCTCCTAGGCACAGCTGAACCACACGGTGTCTCTTTGTTTTGAGCTAAGGGGAAAAACACACTGGCTGAATTCAGACTGAAGTATTAGGAGGACTAAGAGGACTCTGTGTGTGGATCCCCTCTTCTTTTCTCTTTTTAATTTTTGTTTTCTCCATTTCTCCACCCCCCCGTTTGTATTTATATATAAAAAATAGAATGCATTTATAAACACTATGTAGTTGTTTCTATTTGTGAAATGGAGAATGAGAATTCACTAGTGCTTTAGACAGTAAATATTATCTAGTATTCAGATAGGTTAGATAGTATCTGCAGGGCCACGTGAGGTTAACTTTTTTTTTTTTTTTTTTTTTTGTTTT